AGCAAGAACCGGAGGAGGGAAGGGGTCGCTGCTCTCCACAGATGTCTAGAGAGAAAGCCTTCCAGGCTGAGGGCGCAGCCACCGCAAAGCCCCGAGGCTGCTGTCTTTGACGGCACTGGCGCCAGCAAGGGGGTGCGGCCCAGGGAGGGGAGCCAAGGCTCAATGTGGTGAGGGGGCACAGTGGCAGCGGGCTATCACAAGGACATCAGCTCTTGTGGCAGACTGAGGTGCTTCCTCCACTGAAGGACACTGGTTGCTGTGGAAACAGACTCTGGTAGGCCAAGGACAGAAGCAGTGGACTGCAATAACCCAGAAGAGATGAGGGCAGCGAGGATGTGGACAACAGGGGAGGGTGGGAAGTGCTCAGGTCCGGGGCAGACTTGCAAAGCTGAGCCATCAGAGGATTGTAAGTCAGTGGGAGCCCGGCCACTTACGCTGAACAAAGAGTTGGCACTTTCGAATGGGTTTGAGGCCTGCAGGCCCCCCCCAGGCTCTGAGCCACACTCCCAGAATGAACACGTGCCAGGAGGAAGCTCCTGCACACACAGCCCCTGTCCAGCACAGTCACAGGGCACCAGCACCGACAGTGGGAGCCTAGTGTCTCCAAACGTCTGCAGGATTCAACCACACTCGGTCTCAGACCACCTTCTCCTGCCGGTAAGTTAACACCAGTGGCAGTGTAACAAACGAAGCAGAGCTGTCAGCTGGTGTCCTTTCAGTTACATCTTTAACTTAAAATGAATGAGACTTAAAAGGAGGCAGTGAGCGCTTGGCACGATGCCCGCACCCCATACCACAGTGCCTGGGTTCCAGTCGTGGCTCTTGGCTCTGCCTCCTTGGCTTAAATGCCAGTGGTGCACCTGACACTGTCCCAGACCATGAGATTCTCATTGCACATGTCACTGTCTATAATGGCATTTACTTCACGTCTGCTCTCTCCAAGGCACTTGACTGTAAGCTCCACAAAGGCTAACTTCTTTTCTACTGACCTCCGTGTTGTCTGCTCCAAGCGGCGTCTGGCACAAGGCAGACCCTCGAGAGGTTCGAACGGAATGAATGACTGGTTTGGAAGTTTGCAGGAACACGGAGTCTTGAACTATGTGCTTTATTTGCTTCTCAGAAAGGAATAAATTAACTACCAAAAATCTACCTGTCATGTTACCTTGATAATAACACACTCACTTTTCTCAAAATACCATCTTCAGTCCACACAGAGGAAAGATATTGCAATATGTATTTTTATATCTATCCTAATTCTTTATAACAATAGAAAGATAGAAATGGCCTAAATAGTAAAGGTTCAAGGGACCTGTACTTCCACTCAGTGGAATAGTCTGCTTTTCCTGAATGTTTTTAGTGTTTGTAACTGAGATGGTCTTGTGCTATAACATGATGTAAAACAGAAGACTTCGGGTATGGTAGAACAGCTGTTTTTGGCCGGCGCCACGGCTCACTAGGCTAATCCTCCACCTAGCGGTGCCGGCACACGGGGTTCTAGTCCCGGTTGGGGCACCGGATTCTGTCCTGGTTGCCCCTCTTCCAGGCCAGCTCTCTGCTGTGGCCAGGGAGTGCAGTGGAGGATGGCCCAGGTCCTTGGGCCCTGCACCCCATGGGAGACCAGGATAAGTACCCGGCTCCTGCCATCGGATCAGCGCTGTGCGCTGGCCACAGCACGCCAGCTGTGGCGGCCATTGGAGGGTGAACCAATGGCAAAAGGAAGACCTTTCTCTCTGTCTCTCTCTCTCTCACTATCCACTCTGCCTGTCAGGAGATACAAAATAAAGAAAAGAACAACTGTTTTTAAAAACTCTGCACGCACAATGACTTACTACTTCACAGCCACTGGGACGGCAATAAGCAGAACAATGGGAAATAAGCAGTGCTGGAGAGAATGTAGAGAACTCGGAACCCCTGGGGCCGAAGGTGTGGCGCAGTGGCTTAAAGCCTCAGCCTGCAGCACCGGCATCCCATTGGGCGCTGGTTCCAGTGCTGGCTGCTCCACTTCTGATCTGGCTCCCTGCTAATGCCCCTGGGAAAGCAGCAGAGGACGGCCCAAGTCCTTGGGCCCCTCACCCGGAAGAAGCTCCTGACAGAGCTGGTCATTGTGGCCATTTGGAGTGTGAACCAGTGAGTGGGAGATCTTGTCTCTCCTTCTCTCTGTAACTCTGCCTCTCAAATAAATAATAAATCTTTAAAAAAGGGAAGGGGAGGGGGGAGGCAGGGAGGGGAGAGAACCTCTGGACATTGCAATGGGAATGTAACCCGGCATAGCCACTGTAAAAAGTCTGGCAGGTCCTCCAATGGTTAAACACAGAATTACCAGAGGACCTAGGAGTCCCACATCTTGGGATGCACCCAAAGGTGAAAATAATCCCAACGTCCCCCAGCACATGAACAGAGACAAACGTGGCAGTACACGGAACAATACCGTCCAGCTATAAGGAAGAATTACATGCCACTACACGCTACCCACACGTTGAAAACATCACACCAAGCCAACGAAGCCAGTCACGAAAGGGCACATACTGTGTGATTCCAGGCCATGCCATGTCCAGACAGGCAGATTCTAAGGCAGAAGGGGATTAGTGGCTGCCAACGGGAGAGCGAGTGCTGCTCTGTGGGTACAGAGGCCCTGGGATGGTGAAAAACTTCTGGGGGTGAACTGTGGGGGTGGTTACACCACACTGCAAATGTACTTACTGTCCCTGAACTGTACACTTAACATGGTTACAACGATACATTTGTGATGAGTACATGACAATGAAAACAGAGGTGATACGAAATTTATTGACTTATGCGTGGCAAAATCACGAAGACCTTTACCCTGCTACAAGCTACGTGGCCGACACACACACCGATCACGGGAGGCAACACGCAGAGGTAGAGCACTACACACACCCATCTGGCTCCATGACGCAGCGGGACGGCCTCGGCCTGTGGGTGCGGAACATCTCAGCTGGGGCGTCGCGCCTCACTCGGGGTGCAGTTACCATCCTGGGAGGGTGCAATGCCCCCGCCACGCTTCGTCCCACTCTTCTGCTAAGGGGTGCATGGAGAGGCAGAACACAGGGCTCCCGCGCGCTGCCTGAAAGCCCCGACCACCACCTCTGAGCAGACGCTTCCCAGTCGCCCAGGGCTACGGCCTTGCATGTTTACTGTGTGTTCTGACATCCAGCCCACGAGACAGAAAGAACTTTCCGTTTGACAGACGTGAGAAACCAAGGCTCACACAGACTCCGTCAGCTGCCCAGAACAGCGAGCTGACAGCACCCCAAACCCTGTGCTCCTCCCACATCTGTCTTCCAAATACCCGTGAACTGTCCGGGTGACCGTGGCATAGCTTCCTCCAAGAACTGGATCCGAACAGAACCTCCTGGCCATTATCTGCAAGAACAGCACGCGCAAGTGCAGGAAGAATCCGCACTCGGGCGCCTTCCCGTAAACCTGGGTCCGAATTTCTGTGTTCTTCCGAAAAGACAAACTCCCAGGGTTCTGACAGTCTCTAGGGGCCCGATTCCCTCTTTCAGCCTCGTCTACACCCTCAGCCTTCTTGGTTAGTGACCCAAGGGGCCCAGGGCTTCCCAGAGGCCCAGCTGATCACTTGAGCGAGTCCAGTCTCCCAAACACCTGTGTGAAGCGCTCTCTGTCCAGGACGCGCCCGTAGCGCAGAGGTAGGTAGAAGGTCTGCTTCCCGCTGTACTGCTGGATGCGCACAAACACCTCGTGGGGCCGGTCCCTCGTCTCCGTCAGGGGGACCACGTCCGCCACGGGGCAGTACGTGTCCTGTCGCCAGCCCCAGAAGGTGAGGTGAGCCACCCGCAGCACGGTGCCCGACTCGTTCACATACAGGATGCCTACGAGCCTGCGGAAGAAATGGCTCATCCAGCACAGCATGGCCAGGGCGAAGCCAGCTATGCCACCCACCAGGCACAGCGAGTCGAGCGGCATGAGGCCCTGGGAGTACCAGTAGAAGCCGGGCGGCAGAGCCACCAGCGTCAGGGCCGTCTGCGCCACCTTCAGCCGAGATATGTACCCAAACGCTCTGATGGCATCGAAACGGTAGACCATCTGGAACTTCTCGGTCTCTGTGCCCGGGGCTTTCTCCTCGGAACCGGGAGACCTGCTCCGCACCCACCTCTTGGGATCCTCTCGCCCACCGCAGGACCACAGCCCGCAGAGGGGCTTTCCCCAGGCGGCCGGCCCCCGCCACCTGGGCACAGCTCGGAGGAGGGCAGCCTGGAAGGGAGACAAGAGACCGTTTCCTCTCAGAACTCGGCTTCCACCTGCGTGAGTTCGTTAGGCTTTACCAACGGGCACTCAGAACACACTGAACGAGACAACGGTTTTTACGCCGTAAACGCAGCACCACTGTGCATCAGCACCGGCAGGGGCTTGGTTCCGGGATGCACGACAAGACACCCAAACCAGAGGGCTCACGTCTCTTATGCAAAATGGCACAGTGTTTGTGTGATACCTTATACCACTACTACGATGGAAACGCGGCGTAGAGTGGTTATGGGGGATTCCTTTGGGAGTAGCAAGAGCCCGTAGGCGTTCCGCACAGACGCAGCTGTCTCGGCAGCTGAGTGAATCCATGGATGGGGAGCGCACGGATAAGCAGCGCCGACTGCTCGGGGCCCACCCTGAGCACCCCCGCGAGGCTCGGCTAGCACCGCTGCTGGCCCACGTGACCCCGCAAGACCACAGCAAGCCGTGGAGGAGCACATCGTAACCCACATCGGGGCAATCGCCCCAGGACCCAACAAACCAGAAGCTCAGGATTCCTGCCTGTTTGCCCCAACACTGGCTCCGACCCCGACGCAGCCCATCACCCTCCTCCTTACCATGGCCCTGCTCCCTGGCGCCGGATACAACCTCACCGCCGCCGGAAACTCTAAGGGCGCATGCTCGGACTACGCGCGTTGCATGCTGGGAGTTGTGGTGTAGCGTCCGTGGCCGACGCTAGCCCCGGGCATTGTGGGAGGCTGTGGGAGTCTCTTCCCGACGTGCTCTGCGGCGAAGAGGGCCGAACCCGGAAGTTCCGGGTCGAGGTCCGGGTGCCAACGAGTCGTCTCAGGTGTGGACGGAAACGGGGGCCATGGCAGCTCCGGGACCAGCGCTTTGCCTCTTCGACGTGGACGGGACCCTGACCGCCCCGCGGCAGGTAGGCGGCGCGCAGAGGGCTGGCGGCAGCCGGCACGGAGCACTTTCTGCTCCTAGACGGGACGAACGACCGTCCAGCTTGGGTGCCTGGGTGCAGCTGAGGACCGCCTCCCGCCTCCAGGGGCTGCCCTTGGTCTGGGTGCCCCAGCGGCGGGAGACGGGCCTGAAGCAGCTCGTCAAGATCCCGGGGTGCTCGGAGAGGGAGGGCGGGGTCGGGAAACTTGGGTTAGAACAAGCAGCCCGTTCTCTGGCCGCGAGCCCTGAACCCCAGCCGAGGCCCCCTCAGCAGCTGTGTGACCTTCCCCGTCCCGTCGCGCGTGGCTGGACCTTGGAGCGAGATGCTGAAAGCGCAGGGTTCGGGCCGGCGCTGCGGCTGTTACTAGTTAAACATCCGTGTGCCTGCGGCGCCGGCATCCCATATGGGCGCCGGGTTGAGTCCCACCTGCTCCACTTCGGATCCGGCTCCCTGCTGATGGCCTGGGAAAGCTGCAGTGGACGGGCCCGGTCCTTGGGCCCCTGCACCCATGTGGGAGACCCGGAAGAAGCTCCTGGCTTCGGATCGGCGCAGCCGCGGCCCTTGCGGACATTTAGGGAGTGAGCCCGTGAGTGGAAGACCCCTCTCTCTATCTCGACCTCTCTCTGTCTGCAACTCTTCCCTCAAATAGATAAATCTTAAAGAAAGAAAGTGTAGATTTCCTAGTCCAGAGGACCTAGCGGAGCCTCAGCTTGGGCCAGTTAGCCCCAGCCGGAAGCGGGGACAGTGCTTGTTACGTGTCATCCGAATAGGACCAAATGCAAGGTGTCTGCTCGCAGTAGGCCTCCGTAAGCACGGGCCGTCTCCACCCGCCCTGTGCAGCCCCTGCCGGGGTCGGGGTCGGGGGGACGTCCTAGGTCGTCACAGGCAGCCTGGTGAGTCTCTGCACCCTTGGAAGCGTGCCCCCCGCGCTCAGATCTGCCTGCTGCGGGCGTGCGTACGTTTCAGCTGGGATCAGCTTCGTGGCCAGGCGCTCCCTTGTACAGACTGGTCGCAGGAACACCAGCCATGGGAGGCAGCAGTCAGCACACACCTGTGGCTTGTTAAAAGCCCATACTGGCGGCCGGCGCCGCGGCTCACTAGGCTAATCCTCCGCCTTGCGGCGCCGACACACCGGGTTCTAGTCCCGGTCGGGGCGCCGGATTCTGTCCCGGTTGCTCCTCTTCCAGGCCAGCTCTCTGCTGTGGCCAGGGAGTGCAGTGGAGGATGGCCCACGTGCTTGGGCTCTGCACCCCATGGGAGACCAGGAGGAAGCTCCTGGCTCCTGGCTTCGGATCAGCGCAGCACCTTAGCGGCCATTTTGGGGGTTGAACCAACAGAAGGAAGACCTTTCTGTGTCTCTCACTGCCTAACTCTGCCTGTCAAAAAAAAAAAAAAAAAAAAAAAAAAAAACCATGCTGGCCTAGAACTGCAGCCAGCAATTCAGTTTTTAAGAAAAGCCGTATATCGTAAATGTTGTAGTCTTTGCAGACCATATGGTCTGCAATAACTACTCAGCTTATTGCAAAAGCAGCTGTAGACCGTGCAAAAACATGGGGTGGCTGTGTTCCAGTACAGGCCTGCTTTATTAGAAAAGCCGACATCTGGGGCAGGTACGTAGCATATGGTTAAAGCAGCACTTGGAACTCCAGCCTCCCACCGTGGAGTGCCTGGGTTTGAGTCCTGGCCCCACTCCTGATTGCACCTCGGGAGGCAGCAGATCATGACCCTAGTAGTTGGGTCCCTGCCACCCACATGGGAGATACAGGTTGAGTTCCCAGCTCCTAACTTCAGCCTGGCCCAGCCCTGGCTGTGCAGACCTTTGAAGTTCACTCTCTCTGTGTCTGCTTCTTCTCCCTCTCCCTGTATCTCTCAAATAAACAATTTTTTTTTTTTTTAAGAAAACAACTGCTCGGTTTGTCCCATGGACCATAGTGGCCTGGAGTTTGCATTTCCATGTCTTTTTACGTGATATTAGGCCCTCTTCACTTTCTTCCCTTTTTCATCTTAGGTAAAACAATTATTACTACCATTTTAAACAAAGAAACAGAGACCCCATAAAGGCCTGACTGCCTCACCTTCACGCAGTACTGGGGTCTCAGGGCATTGTCGTTTGTCAGTTCTCGTGAGGTCTTGCAGTGGAAGGTGTCCAGTTGTCCTGTGCCATTCAGGAAGGTGTTTCTCAATCTCAGAAACAATGGGGCTGTGCTCACACAAAATATAAAATAGCAAAGAAACCTGGAACGGAGAATGTATTCCTTTGAAATACATATTCTCTGCAACGAATGTAAATTTTTTTTTTTGACAGGCAGAGTGGACAGTGAGAGAGAGAGAGACAGAGAGAAAAGTCTTCCTTTACCATTGGTTCACCCTCCAATGGCCACTGCGGCCGGCGCACCGCGCTGATCCGAAGGAGGAGCCAGGTGCTTCTCCTGGTCTCCCGTGGGGTGCAGGGCCCAAGCACCTGGGCCATCCTCCACTGCACTCCTGGGCCACAGCAGAGAGCTGGCCTGGAAGAGGGGCCACCGGGACAGAATCCGGCGCCTGACCGGGACTAGAACCTGGTGTGCCGGGGCCGCAGGTGGAGGATTAGCCTCGTGAGCCACGGCGCCAGCGTAAATAATTTTAACAATCAAAAAATAGAATCCATAATTTAAAAGAAAATTGTTTCTGAAGTAAAAAATAAATAAAAATGCTAGCAACAGATTTATTGATTATCCAGCCTTTCACTTCCTGATACATGTGCATTCTCATACCTTGAGGAGCACGTTGCTTTTTAGATTTACCTAGTTGAAAGGCAGTGGGGAGACAGGAGGTTATTGATAGATCTTCCATCTGCTGGTTCACTCTTCAAATGACTGCAGTGGCTGGGCCTGGGGCAGACTGAAGCTGGGAGCCCGGAACTCCAAGCTGGGCTCCCATTGGACCACAGGGGACCAAGCGCCTGAGACATCTTGTGCCTTCCCAGGCACATGGCTGCGTGCTGGATCTGCAGAGAGCAGCTGGGGGCTGAATGCTGCTCTGATGTGGGATGCCGCCATAGAGGTGGTGGCTTAACCTCCTGTGCCACAACGCTGGGCCCACACATTGCAATCCTGAGGCAAAAGAACGGGCTCTGTCTTCCTGCAGCTGCTGGCACAGGACATGACCTAAACAGTAGACTGATTAGCACGCACTCCAGAGATTCGCACGTGTCAGTGTTGTAGAAGCTTGTTGGTGCTCAGTCCTTTCCTTAACACGCTGTTTCATCTAAAGCTACTTGGAACTTCGAACAAAAGCCCGTAAGAAGAAAGGTGGCGCGAACCTAGGTGAATCGTTTTCCAACTTCCTATCATCAAAACTTTCTTCTTCTGCTGCTGCTTTTTTTTTTTTTTTTTTTTTTTTTTGGCAGGCAGAGTTAGACAGTAAGAGAGAGAAAGGTCTTCCTTTACCGTTGGTTCACCCTCCAAAGGCCGCTGCGGCCGGCACACCGCGCTGATCCAATGGCAGGAGCCAGGAGCCAGGTGCTTCTCCTGGTCTCCCATGGGGTGCAGGGCCCAAGCACCTGGGCCATCCTCCACTGCCTTCCTGGGCCACAGCAGAGAGCTGGCCTGGAAGAGGGGCAACCGGGACAGAATCCAGTGCCCCGACTGGGACTAGAACCCGGGGTGCCAGGGCCGCAGGTGGAGGATTAGCCTAGTGAGCCGCGGTGCCGGCCATTAAAAACTTTGAAAAATGTCGCTGAAACAGCCTAGAGTAGCTGCCTCAGACATAGACGCCATCTCTCACTGCTCCTGTGTCTCTCCGCCTCGAGGGGAATTGCTCTTTAGAAAAGGGACAGTCCTGCGCAGCAGTCGCAGTACACGACTCCTGTGACAGCAGTGCCCCATATGAGAGTGCCAGTTCAGATTCCGCCTGCTCCCGTTTCAGGCCAGCTTCCTGCTAACACATCCCGCAAGGCAGCAGAAGATGGTTCAGGTACTTGGGCCCCCGCCACCCACATGGGAGTCCTGGATAGAGTCTGGACTCCTGGTGTCACCTGGACCAGACCTGAGTGTTGCAAGCATTTGGGGAGTGAATCCGATGAGGAACCAAGAGATGGACGATCTCTCCTGCAGGACAGCTTCCTAGGCTGCACTCATCACTGACCCTTACCGCCACCTATTTTAGGCCTTGGCTGCATCTCTTGAGAACAAAACCTCAGCATCATTATTACACTTAAGAAAAGTCTACCAATTCTCTAATGCTTCATACTGTAGCCCAAGGGTTCATCAACTTTTTTCTGTAAAAGGCCAGATAGAAAAACAGTTGAGGCTTCACTGGCCATGTGGTCTTCGCCACAACATCTTGACTGTTGTAGCAGATCAGACGAGACACTGTGTATGAGGGGGCTTCCGAAAGTTCATGGAAAGTGGAATTGACACATCCATTTATTTGAGGTTCAAACTTTTAAAATCTGTGCACATGAGGGTCTTCAACATACATGTTCATGGAAAATGCATATTTTTTAAAAAACTGCATAGGTTTCAAAAAGATCTTTTTTAAAAAATTATTTGAAAATCAGAGTTAGAGGGACAGAGAGACAATACATCTTCTGGTTCACTCCCCCAGATGGCTGCAACAGCTGGGGCTGGGTCAGGCTGAAGCCAGGAGCCAGGAGTTTCCCACAGGTCTCCCACATGGGTGCGGGGACCCAAACACTTGGGCCATTTTCTAGTACTTTCCTCCACCATTAGCAGGGAGTGAGATCAGAAGTGGAGCAGCTGGGACTTGAACTGGCACCCATGTGGGATGGCGGAGTTGCAGACGACAGTTTTACCCACTATGCCACAGTGTCAACCTGCTAAAAAAGATTTATATCAAAATTATCTTTTAATTCCATTGTTCAAGCTTTTTTGAAGTTTGGAAGTACCCTTGGGCTTGAACAAAGGAGACCATGTCCCCGTGATACTTTATAAAAATGGACACTCTGATTATGGCCATCGGCCCTAGGGGCAGGCCCTGGTGTTATAAATGCCCCACTGGTACATGGCAGAATTTCCTTAGTTGTCCCCAAAATATATATTTTTTAATATTTATTTATTTGAAAGGCAGAGTTAGAGAGGAATCTTCTGTCTGCTGGTTCACTCCCCAAATGGCCAGGGCTGGGCCACGCAGAAGTCAGGAGCCCAGAACTCCATCCAGGTCTCCCATATGGGTACAGAGGCCCAAGCACTTGGGCCATCTTCTGCTGCTTTCACAGGCCATTAGCAGGGAGCTGGATGGGAAGTAGACAGGCTAGCACTCAAACCAGTACCCGTATGGGAAGCTGGCATGCAGGCAATGGCTTATCCTACTATGCCACAATGCTGGCCCTCAAAACTATTTTCTATAATTGTTTACCAGAAGTAAATTTTTAATTTTCTACCTTAATTTCAAGTTTTGAATCTTTTTCTGTTTCTATTTTTTTGTTTTGAATTTTTTTAAAATTTTATTTATTATTTGAAAGAGTTAACACAGAGAGAGGAGAGGCAGAGAGAGAGAGGTCTTCCATCCGCTGGTTCACTCCCCAATTGGTCGCAACTGCCGGAGCTGCGCCGATCGGAAGCCAGGAGCTTCTAGGTCTCCCACGTGGGTGCAGGGGCCCAAGGACTTGGACCACCTTCCACTGCTTTCCCAAGCCACTAGCAGGGAGCTGGATTGGAAGTGGAGCAGCTGGGACTTGAACTAGTGCCAATATAGGATGCTGGCACTACAGATGGAGGGTTAACCTACGCCACAGCACTGGCCCCAGTAATCAATTAAGACTTTAACAATTCACAGGGGGCCAGCATTGTGGTACATTGGGTTAAGTTGCCACTTGATACACCAGCGCCCCTTACAGATTCAAGTCCCAGCTAGTCTGCTAATCCATCTCCTTGCTGATGTGGGAGACCTGGATGGAGCGCCTGGCTGAGCTCTGGCTGCTGTTGCCATTTGGGAAGTGAACAGCAGATGGAAGATTCTCTCTGTCTCTGTGTAGCTCTTTCAAATAAATAAGTCTTTTTAAAATAAAATTTCACTGTGATCTGTCTTAATATAGTGATAGCTTTTCTTCTCAGTTTATAATTTCCTTTAAATTATTATATAGTTTGTAATCTAACTAGCATACAATAATAACATTAAGACCACTGTTTATAGATAGGATCTTTTAAAAAATCCAGTGACCTTTTCTGCTTTTTGATTTTTGTTTTTGTGTAATTATAAAAAAAAAAAAAACACTTCCGAACTTCTTCATTATTAACATAATAGTTTGTTCTAAAATTAACCTAAACCCATAATTGGAATAGACTGTAGCATTTCAAAGGAATGAGCCAGTCTGCCTGGGCACGGAAAGCTCACCACAAGAGTGTTGACAGAGTCAGTCACTGTGCTGGGTTTAGGAATCCTGAGTCTCAAGAAGGCATGGAGATGGATGACCAACCAAGGCAGGGAAAGTCCCTCTCGGAAGGGCAGCGTGGTGGGTCTGAAGTAAGCTCTCAGCCACCTGGGCAGTGGGCAGGGCCCGGAAAGCTCCTTGTCCGGAGGGGCTTGTGTGGGCAAGTCTTACCCGAGACAGGGCAGTCCGGACCTGCAGAAAACCCCTCTGGAAATTGTTGACTGCAGCCCCTCGGGCGGTTTGGAATGTCGCAGGTCGGGTGCTTGGAAAGTTAATGGTGGTGCAGCCGAATAGCAGGCAATAAAAGTCCCACCAAGCTTAGGGCTATCTATTTGTGCCTAATTTCACGTGGTTTGGCATTAACTATTTGCCCTCACTGGCCTAACGGATCCTGGCACATTGCACAGGACATAGAATATTTTCATATATATTTCATGACTTTTTTTTTTAAAGATTTATTTATTTATTTGAAAGTCAGAGTTACACAGAGAGAGGAGAGGCGGGGGAAGGGGAGAGGGACGGAGGGAGGGGCCGGTTGGTCTTCCATCCACTGGTTCACTCCCCTGTTGGCCACAACAGCCGGAGCTGTGCCAATCCAAAGCCAAGAGCCAGAAACTTCTTCTGAGTCTCCCATGTGGGTGCAGGGGCCGAAGGTCTTGGGCCATCTTCTGCTTTCCCAGGCCACAGCAGAGAGCTAAATCAGAAGTGGAGCAGCCGGATCTCAAACCGGCGCCCATATGGGATGCCAGTGCTTCAAGCCAGGGCGTTAACCCGCTGCACCACAGCGCCAGCCCCTTATATGTATTTCAGAAATAAGACCTATTTGCATGTACATATAGGCAGATATATAAATTCATAGAAAAGTAGCTGGAACAATATGTAATATATAACAGCTATTAGTAATATATTGCCTATGTGTTTAAATTTTGGTAAAAATAAGGAAAACTTGAGTTTATTCTGGTAAAAACATAATGCCCCAAGTTACAACCAAAATTTTTTAACTTAGCTACATATCTAGTAACTGAATCTTGATGTGTGAAAATAAGGTTTGCATTACTCTTGTAATCCTATATTTTGTGGCTCATAACTGTTGTATTTTCCTTCTTTGAATGCAGAAAATTACCAAAGAAATGGATGACTTTCTACAAAAGTTGAGACAGAAGATCAAAATCGGAGTGGTAGGCGGGTCAGACTTCGAGAAAGTGCAGGAGCAGCTGGGAACTGATGGTAAACGATGCATTTACAATTATATTTCAGTCCAAGATTGCCATCTTAGGAGGCTATTGGCTCCTATAGCCAAGGGTCACAGGCAGCTCTCTGCCCAAAATCCCTGTATACCAGACTTTCTGCATCCTTGTCTGGGGAAATAATTTCTTCGCATTTCTTTTTCCTTGGCTTTTAATCATATAAATGAATTTCTGGAGTTGCTGACTGAGGACTGGGGGCCGAGATACATGGATAGACTCACCTAGCAAGGTGTCCATGTCTGTGCACACGGTGATCCTTCTGTGGGCCCCTGTTTCCTGACTGTCCCTTCACTCAGGCACGGCTGCAAGGTGCCTTGACTTCAGCTGCCTCTCTTGTTCCTCTAATGCAGTGTTTCCCAGAGCCCCTAACCACGGGAGTCACCAGGCTGCCCCTGACACTGACGAGAATCCCCAGAAAACTGCAGGAGAGTCTTGCAGGCCCCTTCAGCACCTGGGATGCTCAGTGTAAGCCCTGCCGATGTAGCACTGTGTGATCACTGCAAACTCTGGTTCTGTGTGTCTGGAAGATCTGGACCTGCGTCAGGCATCTCTGAAGCCCGAGGCCTAAGCCCCCGGCCTCGGGGGTGCCTGGCTGCAAGAGTCAGTGGGTGGACAGATGGCTGCAGTCATCAGTCTTTCAACTCCCATTGTCCCTAGCTGCCTCACATCGTGGCACCAGCTCCTCTAGGGCAAAGTCCTCAACCCTGGGGCTGTTGACATTTTGGGCCAGATAATTCTGTTTCTGGTAGCCACCCTGTGCATTGTAGGACATTTAGCAACATCCCTGTTCTGTACCCATTAGATGCCAGCAGAGTACACACACACACACACACACACAGTCGTGAACCCAAAAATGTCTCCAGACATTTACACATGTTCTCTAAGGGTAAAGTCACCCGAGCTGGGAACTGTTCCGGATGTAGTATATTATAGTAATACTGGGTCATGATTACTGGAAAAGTAACCGCTGCAGTCCCTCTACAACTCTGTCCCACTGGAGCTTAATTTTCCTTTTAGACGACCTGTTTAGAAATGCTGAAGGCAGCACAATGGAGCACAGTAAGCCCTAGAAACCCGATCACCTGGACACAGTTGCCCTTTCTCCCCTGCTGGTATATGTAACCACATCCTCAGTGAGCTTTTGTGTCAGCATAGGGGAGTGCGTGTAGTAACAATGAAGAGTGTGGTGACAATAAAATCACACATTCCCCAGCTGAAGGCCCACATGTGTCAGAATCACCTGGGAAGCTTACTAACACTTAGGTGTGAGGGCCCCACCACCACACAGTAACGCGGGGCAGGGGCAGGAAATAAACCACCCCAACCATCACCAAGTCTCCAGCCCAGTCGTCTTCAAATCTGTAACCAAAGGGCCTTTATCATTTTTAAAAGGAGCTTTTTCCTTTTTCCCACTCTCCCAGTCTATTAAAACAAAATAGTCTTCTATAGTCCTTATTGGAGTAGTTTTTTGGATGCTAAACATTAATCAAGAAATAAACATAGGTATTGATTCATTGCATTCTAAAAAATATTTTTTTTTTTTTGTAGTGATTGAAAAATATGATTATGTGTTTCCAGAAAATGGCTTGGTAGCATACAAAGATGGGAAACTCTTGTCTAAACAGGTGGGTTCCTGAGTGTCTGAACTGCTCTCTGAAAGGTCTTTGATACCAAATTGGTAACCAAATTTTCATTATTTTTATATATATATATATATATATATATATATTTTGGACAGGCAGAGTTAAACAGTGAGAGAGAGAGAAAGGTCTTCCTTCCATTGGTTCACCCCCCCTAAATGGCCGCTACGGCCAGCGTGCTGCACCTATCTGAAGCCAGGAGCCAGGTGCTTCTCCTGGTCTCCCATGGGGTGCAGGGCCCAAGTACTTGGGCCATCCTCCACTGCACTCCCGGGCCACAGCACAGAGCTGGCCTGGAAGAGGGGCAACCGGGACAGAATCCGGCGCCCCAACTGAGACTAGAACCTGGGGTGCCGGCACCACAGGCAGAGGATCAGCCTAGTAAGCCGCCGTGCCGGCCCCATAATTGTTTCTTAAAGATACTTAATTCTAATATTTCTGTTACAGCAGCAACGAGGGTAGGCTGCCTCGCCGAGTGGATTTCTAAAAGGAACCGTGTGGCTTTTGTTAGCAGTGAGGGCAAGTGTACTTTCTGTCAGCATCTGTAGATATTTTAATTGAACAGAAGCAGCAGCAATAAACTCTTTGGGTCTTTCAGGAAGTGTTTGAAAGCTAATGAATGCAAAAATCTCGAGTAATGAAGCATAAAAAGCTTTTGACTAGAGCTTTTCTGGTGTGCTGAATGTTTTCAACCGGAGAAAAATGGAAAAGCATTGAAAAGGCAGTGGGGCGCAGCACGGACGCCGCTGCGTCAGCGTGGCGACATCCTGCAGTGGTGGCTGCGGCCTGAGCCTGCTGCGGCGCTCTCCTGCTAACCCAAGTAACTCCAGTGTTTTCTTTCCCTAGAGTATTCAAGGCCACCTCGGGGAGGCGCTGATCCAGGATTTAATCAACTACTGCCTGAGCTACATCGCGAAAATTAAACTCCCAAAGAAGAGGTGGGTTTCCTTTTAGCAAAGAGGCTCCGCTCGTGCTCCTTTAAGTCTGAAGCCCAGCACTTAGTAACGATTAAGTGGAAAAGTCGCTTCTCAGCCTTTTGGTAAGATCAAGTGTAGGAATAGCTGGAAATGGTCTGTAGAGCCGACAGTATGAGTATATGAACTGGTGTGTCCACATGGTGGAAACGTGTACAGCCACTGCAGCCCTGTCTCCAAGCTGTCGGGGAGAGGACGTGACTGAAGCAGCATGTAAATGCAGCGTGTATCCCTTACTGCGGTGCTGAGTGCTGGCTTCCCGTTCCGGTGTCTGCTCGTGCGCTCCCTGCTAGGCAGCAGGTGGTAGCTCGGGTAGCTTGGTCCCTGCCGCCTGTGTGGGACCACTGTGGGTCCTCATTCCCGTGGGGCAGCCGTTGGCTGCACTGCCGCCTCTGCCCTTACCCCATCCCACACGCCTGCATTTGTTCCAGTCTTTCACAGTCCAGTTCTCCCCTTTCCTTTTTTTTTTTTCTTCTTTTTAAGATTTATTTATTTATTTATTTGAAAGAGTTACACAGAGAAGGAGAGGCAGAGAGAGAGAGAGAGAGAGAGGTCTTTCATCTGCTGGTTCACTCCCCAATTGGCCACAACGGCTGGAGCTGTGCTGACCCAGTGCTAGGAACCAAGAGCTTCTTCCAGGTCTCCCATGAGGGTGCAGGGGCCCAAAAATTTGGGCCATTTTCTACTGCTCTCCCAGGCCATAGAAGAGAGCAGCCAGGACTCGAACCAACGCCCGTATGGAATGCCAGCACTGCAGGCAGTAGCTTTACTCCCTACACCACAGCGCTGGCCCCTCTCCCATTTTCCCATTTTCTGACCTCTGTAGACATTTGATTTGGGAACCTTCCTCCTGCTCTGGATGGCTACCATCATCAAATTCTATTTTAAAAATAATAGCATACATTAAAAAAAAAAAAACTAAGATACAGACCTGTATGCCAGCAGTGACTGTTTCTTGGTGGGGAGATCACAGCTGATTTCTTTGAAATATTTCTCTCTTCCCACTTTGCAACATTTATCCTATACCACTTTCCAAATGGCAGTTGAATTTCAGGGCTGCCTCAGCCCAGCAGAACCCTAACAGCGGGGCCTCTGCTTGGCTCTCCAGCCAGAGCGCAGGAGCCTCCTTGTCCTCAGGAGGGAGTGTGCATGACGTGCCCTGGGCAGTGAGCATGTGGGGGTCTTTACCCTGTTCTGTCTATCTCTGCTAGACATTCTCCACAGTGAAGTTAAAATGTACATACATCCCGGCTCAGCTCTGCCTTGTCTTGGGGTTAAGCATTAAGTGAGAATAAAAAACGTTCAAAAGGGCAAGGCTCAGTCCTGTCCTCAGGGAGCTTACCACCCAGTGAGGGAGACACAGTGCGGAGCTGCCGTTCAGAATAGTACAGATGCCTGGTGAGTGCAGGAAGCGGCACGGAGACTGCGGTGAGCAGCATTTGTCCGCAGGTGGTGTCGGTGCTGCGCGTGTGTGCCGTGGGGGTTGGGCCAGTGCAGTCAGACTTCACGTCTTCAGGGAGGAAGGGCATGCCTGACAAGCTGCCTCATCCTTGTTTTATTTATTTATTTATTTATTTATTTATTTTTCTTTATTTTTAAAGATTTATTTATTTATTTATTTGAAAGATAGGTAGAGACAGAGATCTTCCGTCCGCTGGTTCACTCCCCTAATGACCACAATGACCAGGGCTAGGCCAGGCCGAAGCCAGGGTCCAGGAGCTTTTTTCGGGTTTCCCGCATATGGGTACAGAGGTCCGAAGACTTGGACCATCTTCCACTGCTTTCCCAGGTGCATTAGCAGAGATCTGGATTGGAAATGGAGCAGCCGAGAGTCGAACTGGCGCCCATATCAGATGCTAGTGCTGCAAGTCAGACCTTTAACACACTGCGCCATAACACTGACCCCTCTGAGTTTTTAAGAAGCTATTTTGAGGGGCCGGCACTCTGGCGTAGGGGGTAAAACCACTGCCTCCAGTGCTGGCATCACAAATGAGCACTGATCCAGCTCTCTGCTATGACCTGGGAAAATAGTAAAAGGCCCAAGGCCTTGGACCCCTGCACACACTTGAGAGACCCGGGAGAAGCTCTTGGCTACTGGCTTTGGGTCGGCACAGCTCTGGCTGTTGCAGCCAGTTGGGGGGTGAACCAGCAGATGAAAGACCTCTCTCTCTCTCTCTCTCTCTCTCTCTCTGTCTGCCTCTCCTTCTCTATCTGTGTAACTCTGACTTTCAAATAAACAAATAAATCTTAAAAAAAAAAAAAAAGGCTGTTTTGAGAGACTGAGACATGGTGGGAAAAACAATATGTTTCATCATCTCCATTTGAAATATCTAACACAGGGTCAAGCTGTTCTCTTTTTCTGTGAGCAAACCAAACAGGAGCAGTCTGCCACTGGATAAGTGGCGTTTCTTTGGCTATTACTGAGGCTTTAGGACGACCCTTTCCTCTGTGGCTTTGCTTGGTAAAATGATGTGTCCCAGAGCTCACTGGCAAAGTAAATGTCTAGGACGTGTGTGTTCCAACTCCTCAGGGAAACACTGAGTCTTCACTAACCCTAAAATTCTCTGCCTAACAGCAGTACTGTCCAACAGAAATGTAATGTGAAACAGGTGAAACTAATTTAATAACATATTTTATGTAACCCAGGGGTGCGGAACATTTGTCCCGCAAGCTGTATAAGGCCTTTTTTTTTTTTTTTTTTTTTTGGTCCCTGCCAAGATAACCACAGGTGGGACTCGAAATTCAGTGAATCTGTAGCAGGCTGGTTTTGTAGGGCCTGCAAATGATGAGTATCCAAGTGGCCCCTTGGCAGAAAAGAAGGTTCCCTACCTCTGCATGTATTGAAAATGATCTTTTAAACTGTCTCTAAGATATTATTTTATTTTATTTTTTAAGAAGTATTTTAGTTTTTTAAGAAGTATTTTATTTATTTGAGAGGTAGAGTTACAGACAGTGAGAGGGAGAGACAGAAAGGTCTTCCGTTCACTGGCTCACTCCCCAAATGGCCACAACGGCAAGAGCTGTGTCGATCCGGAGCCAGGAGCCGGGAGCCGGGAGCTTCCTCCGGGTCTCCCACATGGGTGCAGGGGCCCAAGCACCTGGGCCATCCTCTACTGCTATCCCAGGCCACAGCAGAGAGCTGGATGGGAAGAGGATCAGCTGGGACTAGAACCGGCGCCCATATGGGATGCCAGCACCACAGGCGGAGGATTAACCTGTGCTACAGCACCAGCCCCAAGATATTATTTATTTATTTAAAAGAGTTAGAGGGAGATCTGCAGTCCACTGGTTCACTCCCCCAGTAACTGCAACAGCCGGGGCTGGGCCAGGCTGATGCCAGGAGCCCACAGTTCCACATGGGTCTCCCACATGGTGGCAGGGGCCCAAGTATTTGGGCCATCCTCTGCTGCTTTCCCAGACACATTAGCAAGGAGCTGGACCGGAAGTGGGGCAGCCAGGGCTGAAGCTCAAACCTGTGCTCATTTGGGATGCTGGTATAGTAGACAGTGGCTTATCTGGCTGTGCCATAATGCCAGCCCCGCTATAAAATGTTATTAATACTGGTCACATTGCTGCTTTTTACTTTCAAATCTAATCTCAGTTTAGATTGGCCACATTTCAAGGTTCAGTAGTCCCATGTGGTGTGTTGCACAACTCAGCTCTGAGAAACACTGATCATGCCGGCCTGTGCTTTTCAAAACTGCCCAGTTTTCAGACTGTCCATCTGGAAAGCTTCCCAAATCAATAGTGTATTTCAGGGAACCTTTCTCCCCTTTCCTCTCCAGGGGCACCTTCATTGAATTCCGAAATGGGATGCTGAACGTGTCCCCTATTGGAAGGAGCTGCAGCCAGGAGGAACGCATTGAATTCTATGAACTTGACAAAGTGAGTCTTTCTGAAACATCCTGGTGAATGGCTTGGTTTATAAAAATAAGATGTATAGCCTTGTGGCCAGTATTTAAAGTGTGCTTGCTAAACTTCAGTACAATAGACAATTGGTGTCTTTTTGTTTTTCTCAGAAAGAAAACATAAGACAAAAATTTGTAGCAGATCTGCGGAAAGAGTTTGCAGGAAAAGGCCTCACGTTTTCCATAGGTATCGTATATACAAATGTCCAAACGTTGGTACCCATTGGCCAGGAGCTTGTGGGCTGGTGAGCTGTTGAAACCAGACTGTGCCCTGTGTCAAGATGGGCACGAAGGTGAACCGAGCGTCCACCCTGTGGAGGAAAACCAGCCGCTGATTTTCTGCATAATCAGCCACAGCAGGACTTGCCCGGTCAGGAGATGGCTTCCGACTGTTGGGTTTGGTTCTGGCTCCTTCCCCAGCACGACGGTTCCTGCCTGCACTTCTCTCGGTATGAAGAGGAACGTGTTATGATGAAAGAAGAGTAAGAACGCGTCCTCACACCGCGGCGCGGAAGAGACACACTCACTTCACAAGGCAGAGATGAGTTAGGCTGAGTCTGTTTTGGAATTGTAGAATGTTTGAACAGCAAGGAAGCTTGGGAGGCAGTTGCTTTTGAACCAAGAAGTCAAGGGCCAGAAAGGAGAAGAAACTCGTTCAAGTTCACAAAGCTTCTGCCTGCCTTGCCAAACCACGTGTCGGCGTTGCTGGTGTCTGGAGTCTCGGGCTTGTCTGTTGGTAGACTGCCTGTGAAACACTGTAAGCACACTGCTTTCCCCTCTCACTGCCGATGAGACCTGGCTTACGGCCCTCTCGTGTTCCTAGCTGTAACACGTGGCTTGTAGGAAGACTGGATTTGCAAAGGAATTGTGTATAATAGATGACTGGGTGGATTTTAAGCATCCCTGAACTGTAAGATGGACCTCTTTCTGACAAGATTTGCAAAGGCTTTTGTTTTCCATGAAAGCTGCCTGTAGATCAGCTTCAATGTGATTTTCCTGTTTCCTGCAAGATGGACAGGATGCAGCCTGCGTCCAGCATTTCCCACTAGGGAGTGTGAAAGTGGGACGCGGAGCAGCTGAATGTAGCTGTTGTGGGGCTCCCGTAAGCATGCTCCCTGTGAACACATTGGCTTGACGGAGCACCTAAATGCTAAGACATTTCTTATTCAGGGTTGGCGTTCTGTGTCTCATTTTCAGACCCAGGTGAAATAATGTTGGAAAAAGGCGTAAAGCTAAAATTAATTTCTAGAACCTTTCCCTAAAGTAGTATAAGTAATGAACTTGGCTATGAAATATCGACCTTGGCATTCCAGTTGCTGACAAAGAGTACATTGTGACTGTGACATGTTCTCAGTGACTGCCATTAGCCTGTTTTTCACCTTTAGCTTTTATGTGTCTCCTCCCAACCCGACAGGGGGCCAGATCAGCTTTGATGTCTTTCCTGATGGATGGGATAAGAGGTATTGCCTGAGACATGTGGAAAATGACGGTTTTAAGACCATCTATTTCTTTGGAGACAAAACCATGCCAGTAAGTATGAAAAGTGTCTGCTGTTTCATTGTTGGATTTGGGCTCCAAGGCGGGGGACATTGACAAATGGGCTGTCTTTCCCCTCACCCACACTGTACCCCTGGCCCAGTTCCAGCTGAATGATGGCCTTGGTCCTAGGGAGGGTGTGATCGGGTCCCCCCGTCTCCAAGCTCAGATACCCCCTTCCACGTTGGTGGCAAGGATCTTACTTTCTGAAAGTACCTTCCAGTCTAGTTATCCTAGAATTGTATCTATGAAATCTGTCCTCTTCCTATTAATAAAGATTTTAAAAAGTGCCTTCCAGAACACCGGTACTGTGGTTGGACCCTCTCTGGCTTTCGAACTCTTGCTGGTTTTACTTTATTTTCCCGCTGCATTTTCCCCCTGGAGGCATTTGTGGTAAGCTGAGCCCTAGGAATCTTAAATGGTGGCAGGACCAGGAGTCTCAGGACCCTGGGTCAGTCCTGAGCCACAGACACACTCACACTGGCACTCTGTCTCTCTCCTTTCTCTCCTGCTCTGTCTCTGCTAGGAGCAGTCCCTGGTCGGGGAGGAGGACAAGGTCAGAAATCCCCAGTCTCAGTCTCGTGTTAAAGGGCAGGGCAGAAGGGGAAATACAGAAGAAATTTCCCCAGGGCCACCCTGAGGCTCCTCCTGGACAGCTGGACCCCAGCAGTCTGGGCTAGCATCGGTGCCATCGAGGGTGGGGTGGGGCTCTGCACCAGTTCACAGCCCCACAGGCCCCCCTTGGGCTCCACGTCCCCAGGGCGTCTTCTTCAGACCCCTCTGTCCTCTGTGCGATGCTTCTCCCTCACGTGCTGCCCAGGGCATTGGTTTTGTGGCCGCCTGGAGTCCTGTTTCAGGCTTTATGGGCAGCCTGCAGCAGGGGTCCATCACAAACACTGCATGTGCAGTTTCGCGTCCCCCTGTCCGCTTTGCTGCTCTGCTGAGATCTGCCTACGATGGACCTGCCTTCAGCCAGGTGCCCCACCAGTCTTCTGGCCTGAGGGGGCTCCAGGAGAGGATAAGCCCATGTCTTGCTTTAGGTGATAAAACAAATGATGTATACATTTAATGTATGCAGTTTGGTGAGTTTGGATATCTTTATACCTCTTTGTTTTTGAGGGGAGTTTTGGATTTTTTAAATTTTGCTTTGTTGTAAGAACAAGAACTTGACATGAGTTGTAGCTTCTTAGAATTGTACATGGACCACGTAAATCTCATTGACCATGGGCACTGTGTTGTCCAGCACACTGGAGCCTGCTCATCTTCTGTAACTGACACTGCATACCCACTGTGGTTCCCTTTCCCCATCTCCCCTGCCCCGGTAACCACCGTCTGCTCTCTGCTTCTGTGAGCTTGGCAGTTTTAGCTGTCTCATACGAGTGGAGTCAGGCAGTGTCTCTCTCCGTAACTGGCTCACCTCACAGAGTGTCCTGCAGGTTCCACCGTGTGGTTGCAAGCAGGGTTTCCTTCTTTTTCCCTTTTTTAAAGTCAGGCTCCGTAATAATCGACTGTGTGAATACACATTTTCTTTATCCACTTATCTGTCAGTACACCTGTGGGTTACTTCCATATGCAGGGCGTTGTGTGTAATGTGGCAGTGAATAGGAGCATGCGCGTTTCTCAGTGAGATCCTGATTTCCTTCCACTGACTCTGTACTCATGAATCCAAGACTTACGCATAAGACCTGCAAGTATTAAACTTCTGGAAGAAGACCTAGGCAACCAGCTTCTTGACACTGATCTTAGCCGTGGTTTCTCGGGTATGAACCAGAAGCACAGACTCAGGCCAAGTGGAGAAGGGGGACTACGTCAGACTCAGAAGCTAGGCACAGCACAGGCAGCAGCCCACAAGTGAAAAGGCAGTCCACGTGACGGAGAAGGTGTTGCACGCCTTGTGTCTAAAGCAAATACTGTGACTGAAAGATGAGCCCTGGGCTTCAGTAAACAGTGAAGACATACAAGTGGCCAACAAGTATATGAAAAAAGGCTTAATTAACATCGCTGATGAGGAAAATTAAAATTACATTGAGATATCCCTCATACCTGCTAGGGTGAGTGCTATCAAAAAAAAAAAAAAAAGATAGTGGTGGCAGGGGTGTGGAGACCAGGGAGCCCTTCCACACTGTGGGGCTCTTACATGGGGAACCTGCATAACCACCGTATGACCCAGCAGTCCCACTTGAGGGTGTTTCCCAAATAATCGAAATCAGAACCTCCAGGAGAAATCAGTGCGTCCTCTCACCGTTGTCTCCCAGTGAGTGGGAGAATTCACTGAAGGAAGTGTAGTGTTCACCCTTTTTTTGTTTTTTTTTTAAGATTTTATTTAATTTACTTGAAAGGCAGAATTAGAGAGAAGGAGAGAGAGAGAGATCATCCATCTGCTGTTTCATTCCCTAAATGGCTGTAATAGCCGGGGCTGGGCTATACCAAAGCTAGGAGCCAGAAGCGGCTTCTGGGTCTCCCACGTGAGTGCAGGGGCCCAAGGAGTTGAGCCATCCTCTGCTGCTCTCTTGGGCGCAGTAGCAGGGATCTGGATCTGAAGTGGAGCAGCTGGGACGTGAACAAGCGCCCACGTGAGATCATCATCGAAAGCAGCAGCTTAGCCAGCTGCACCATGGTGCCGGCCACACTGTCCGACTTTAAGGAGAAAAAAAGGAATGAAGTTACACCCAGGATCTCAGGGGTGCCTAGAAGCTGCTTCAGTCCTTCCAGCTCAGAGCCATGTATGACAGACGGAGAAGCGAGCATCAGGACACACAACAGATTGTCCTGTACTGTTGACGGTCTTGCTGTGTGGAGTCTAGAAGCCTCAGCTGGAACTTTGCAGAATGGAATGCAGCTCTTGCATAATCAGAAAATGACTTTGCATTTGGAAATTAGAGGGTTTTCTGTTCTGTTTAACAATGTTTAAACATTTGGCCTAGTAGTTAAGATACAACTGGGACACCACATCCCACACTGGGTGCCTGGTTCAAGTTTTAGCTCGGCTTCTGATTTCAGCTCCCTGCTAATGCACACCCTGGGAAGGAGCAGATAATGAATGGCTCAAGTACTCGGGTCCTGCCACCCACGTGGGAGACCTGCATTGAATTCCTGGCTCCCAGCTGTTGTTGACATCTGGGGAGCAGACAAGTAGCAGTTGGAAGATCTTTGTCAGTCTCTCTCTCTCTCTGCCTTTCAAATAAATTCTAAAAAAAAAAAAAAAATGGTCTGAAGAAAGGGAAGTCACTGTGATGGCAGTGCATCAGCTGCCCGCCCCATCCCTGCCTTTTCCTTCGCTGTAGGTGATCCCGGCCGTGGGATCTCTGCATGACATTTTATATTTAGTTTTTGTCCTAACACTTTATTTTCCCCATATTAGTGAATATCTTTGCAAATAGATTTTCAATGGCTGTGTAATATTCTCTCATTTAGGCACAGTTGCCCATTCCCCTGGCAAAGGCACCTTGGGCTGGTAAGGGGTTTGTGCTACTATGCCGAATGCTGTGGTGAGCACTCTAGGGTGGTTCTTTGTTCTCGTCTCTGATCCTTTGACCCTTGGTGTCCTGGAAAGGGGATTAACTGTCCAGCCATCTAAGCGTTTAACCAACATTATCAGTTCTCAAAACTTCACACACAGAGCAGCCCAAATACTGGTTGTCAACTATTATTATTGGATGACAGATGTTTAGAAACCAGTTTTCTTTGTTTTGTATTGAAGCTGCTGTTTTTGCCAGCTCTAGAAAAACAGCACCTGAGCCAACAGCTGTCAGTAAAAGCCCTTCCTCTGACCGGTCCGAGGCTGAGAAGCTGCCCATCAGCCTCTGATCCCCAGCAGCACAGCCTCCCACTGGCAGGATCTGGGGTGACATAAAAGCTGCCCTCTGTTGTGAGCAACCTGGAGCAGGGTGAAGGAAGAAGGTGTTGGCCCTTGCTTTTCGAAATACTTGGCAGTCCCAGAAACTCCGTCAGCCCCACTTCCCAACAGGCACAACGACCTAGGTTCCTTAGAACTTGGCTCTGTTCCTGTTGGAAGCCCAGGCCTGCCCCAGAGTGCCCTAGTGCACTGCGGGGAGGGGGGTGGGGGGGCACTGAAGGACGCACCCAGGCCTGCATGGCTGCACAGGGGCTGTGCCAGCCGAGTCACCTGCACGCTCAGATCCCAGGCAGGAGAGCGGCTTTGTGATGCATTCGTCAGCCGCATCTGGGCCTAAGGCAGAATGAACATGAAAACATGCCAGCAGCGCATGAGCATGAGCAGCTCACGTATGTTGACTCACCACTTCCACTTCTGGTAATTTAGCCAGTGCTTGAGCATGTGTGAAATGACGCGTATGGCAGGGGCAGGGTCGGGAGCACCCTGCCACTCCGCAGGAGGAGACTGGCCGTGTCCGTGCTGGCTCGTCCACGAGGGAGATAGCTCAGCGCTACGGAAACAGCTGTGGACCCACCTCTGGGACTTGCGCCAAGTGCAGAACGGTACAAGCAAGGTGCTCTGTTTCTAAGTAGGAGGCATAATCTCCCTGTTAGCTTTGCTAATGCATAAAAGGAGTCTGCAAAGAAATAACAAAAACCTTGCCGCGGTCACCTGTAGGGTGGGGACCAGGATGGAGACGTCACTAAGACAGGGGTCTTTTTTTTTTGAACCGTGAGAATGTGCTATTGAAAAATAAGTGTTGAGAGTTTTTAGTATTGATTTCATTTACTTGGACGTCAGAGGCAGATCTTTCATCTGCTGATTCATTCCCCCAAATGCCTGCAACTGTCTGAGCTGGGCCAGGAGGAACCCAGGATCCTGGAGCAGTCTGGGTCTCCCATGTGGGTGACGGGGACCCATGCATTTTAGTCAACACCTGCTGCCTCCCGGGGCGCACATCTGCAGGAAGCTGGGGTTGGGAGTGGAGCTGGGCTTGAACCCAGGCATTCTGACGGGGTGCAAGGGTCCCAAGGTGCAGCTCAACTCCTGTGCCAAATGTTTATCCCCAAGTTTTATCTGCAAGGCCAAGAGAGAAATGTTTAAAACGTCAAACAGAAAAGGGAGGAAACAACTTCTCAGGCATGTCCTCCGTGTCGGACCCTGAGCAGGCCATTTAGCCTGTACGTTTCCTGCAGTCCTAGCAGGTAGGCAGCCCACAGGGCAGGCAGGGTCCTCCCTCCCACAGAGGAAGTGCTCCAGGAAGGTGGGGCCTCAGCCAGCCAGCCAGGGGAGTGCCACCAAAGCCCCGCCCCTTGTCGCCCTCCCACATCCCCCAGCCTAGAGCCTTCCTCTCCTGGTTGATTGTGCAACGTTTTACACTGCAGAGGTGCTGAAGAGGACGGTCTTCCTTTAAGGCCAGATTGAAACAGGTGTGATGGGCAGGTGTCAGGAGGCAGTGGGAGACCCAGGTGACCCCGCTCGGCCCCTGGGAGCACAGTTCCTCCTCTAAAGGAGCCGTGTGAGTGAAGTGAGGTCCGAGGAGGAGAGTTGGTAACCCAGGGTTCAGGCTGCAGGAAGGCAGAGCCTCTGCTCACTGTATGAGGAAGTTATTAGAAGGCCCATCTGTTGATGAGATTGTCCCAGAGCGCGGCTGCCCTGGCCAGGGAGCACCTTCTCACGTGCTGGAAGTAGTGAGCTGTGTCCTGGCCCGGAGCTCCTGGTGAGGCTTTGGGCACGATTCTGGACTCACCATTCCTGGTAACGCGGCATTCTCAGGACTCCCGAGGGCCAGCAAGCCACGGAACGGGCCATCTGCACAGACCTGAGTAATACTCATTTCTGGGGCTAAACCATTTGAGAATCAGGTCGTCCTGTGTCGCTGATGGCAGGCTTAAGTTCACATGATGAGGCAAATCCTGTGCTCCCAGAGGGCCCTTGGGCGAATCGCCACTCTCCACAGTCTGCTTTCTGAACTGATTGAGGAGGTTGAACCAGATTGGCAGTTGTTGGCCCACTGGAAGGCGGCGTACTGTGCCTAGAAGCCGTGCACCAGGGGTGTTCCCCAGGTCCCTGCTGGCCCGCCTGCCTCCTGAACACGAGTGCATGGCCCCATCCGCCCTGAGAACCTCAGAACCATCTCCCATAAACAGGCATCGTCTGCAGCTTCTGTTCAGGAAGGCATCGGCGTCAGCCCCAGGGCGGAGTCCGCATCTCCTGGAGGTGCTCCTGTGCCAAGGCCTGGGCAGGACAGAGAGGCTGCAGTCCGAGCTGCCACCAGATCTGAGGGTCACCCCAGGGCCACCAGCCTGATGGCTGGCCCGTGCTCCATCCCCATACTCGTTTTCCTCTGGATTCTAAGCCATAGTGCTCACCTGACCAAGGTACATTGGTCTTCTAATTGCTCTCAAAAATGGCCCTGGAGCGTTTTCAGGCTCCTCTCTGACCCTGCAGCCAGAGAGGGCTGCTGCTCTGGACACTTGGCGGGCAGGCCCTTGGCTCATTGGCCCCTGGAGATGGAGATCCTCCCCAGGCTGAGCTGGAATGGGCGTCCACCTGTGCCACGGTGAGGGGCTGCCCACAGCTGCCTGCTCCTGTCCCGCCAAGTCCTGCGGCCTGGGTGCTCCGTCAGGCAGGACACGCCAGCCGCTGTGGGTGCTCTCGACTGCCCTCCCACAGCAGGGATAATCACTGCCACACGGCACCTCAACGGCAGCACGTGCAGACTTGGCCTGGGGATGCCTGTCAGCCCCGTCCTTCGGCCTCCCAGAGATTCCATATTTGGAAGCTGATTGCACTGAGCTGGGGCCTCTCCTTCGGATTGGCCAGGTCCCCTCCGAGCCTTCCAACTGGAATCTGCATATGCAGATCCAATGATTGCAGTTTCACTTCCTGCAGCCTTACTAAACTCATGAGCAGTATTGAGGTTCTGCTTCTCTTGACCTTGTACCTTCTTGGGCGAGTGAGCTTGGCTGCACCCCCGCACCCACACTCTGAGTCAGAAAGAGGGAAACGGGTCTGTTGGTGGGAGGGAGAGCAAGACCTGAGGTGGGTGGTGGTGGTGATGCTGATGCCCCTGGGAGCCTTGCAGGGCCTCTGAGGGCCAGCAGAGCTGGGAAGCCCACCCAGCCTGGGGAAGGGGACGTTTACGCCTTGCTGGCCTTGCCTCATCAAGTGTCAAGTGAAGCAGGCTCTCCCTGGGACCCCAGCTGCCTCCTTGCCACAATCAGGCAGCTGTCTGCGACATTCTCTCTGGGGAAGGGGAGGCTCGGCAGCTCTCAGGGGACCCAGGTAAACCCATTTTGCTTCAGAGCTTGCTCTCCCCGGGTAATGGCCTACAGCCTCCTAACAGCGCTCTCCGCCTCCCCCTGTACCTCCTCCTCTCCACCCTTTGCGGGGCGAATCCCATCAGGTCTCGGCTCGCAGCCTTCCAATGAAGTCCCAAGTCTTCGAGGCCCCTGGCCTGACCCTGGCCTGCTTCCTTCCTGAATCATCTGTGGCCTGTCCCCTCCCTCCCTTCGGGTCACCCTGGGTCCCCTTGCCCTTGAATTCTGCCTGACAAAGCGCTTGAGCTGTCTGTCCAGAGCTGGGCTTCCGGGGCTTCCTTCTGGGTCTGTATGCTCTGTGTCTCTAGGTTCCAAATCCACGAACAGTGCTGGTGCTGTTGCCTGAATGCGTGGGCTTCCTCCTCAGTGAGTGAGTGACAAGGTGCTGAACGTGACAGAGGCACGCGTGGCACTTCCGGGGGTGCCAGACTGTCAGTGTCTCTGTGGTTTTTACTCCCCAGGCCATTCCTGAGAGGCATGCGACTTCCTCTTTTAGTCCTAAGAATTACTAGAACTGCTTTCACTTGTGTGTGTTTCGGAACAGACAGTGGCCAGGAAAAGTGTGAGGCCAGCGCTGGCCCCAGCAGGCTCCTGGGTCGATGCCTGTGGCCGCAGTCCACGGCCTCTGGCAGGACTCCATGCAGTGCCCCCTCCTCGAGTCTCGGACTCCGTCTCCCGCTGGAGAAGCTGTTGCTTGGGGTGGCTTGTTGCGGCCAGCGTGAGGGCCCTGGCAGTCTCCAGCGTCAGTCCTCTGAACTGGTGTCCGATTCCCCTGCACCATCAGTTTTTCTCCTGATTGGCGTCATGTTCTGTGCTTGGTCAGGAAAATCCATTTTGCCTTATTTTCATCACATCGCAGACTACTTGACTTTTTCTAGGTGTTGAGTTGCGTGTGCCTAGCTTTATGAGAGCAGGGGCTTCCCTGTGGCCCCGAGTACAGCGCAGCGGGAGGCCTACAGGCTGGCCGGGCACCACCCAGTGCGCGCTCGGCTTCTTCAGACACAGGCCCGTGCACAAACCCGCCTCGTCAAGGCCTCCGTGTGTCCTTGGCTGAGGCCTGGTGGTCCGTGCTCTAAGCCCCTGGAGGCACACTGGGCGAAGTAGCGCGTGAGTGCCCCAGAAGGCACAGGGTTGACCCAGGGGATTCGCTGTCCAGGGGCCTTCTTCCCAGCATCCTCGTAGCTTCTCACTGCAGACCTCCAGTGAGGTTCTGAGTTCTATCCACACTGTAGTCACACCCCTAGTCAGGGGCAGACAGCGTCCAGCCCAAGCCACACACATGCACCTACATGCGGCTCAGACCTGAGACTTGGGCCATTGAAGGTCGTCAGAATCCTGGCCATTCAACTCCGTTCCTGCACACAGTGGCCACACTGCGGCCATCACCCGTGCCTGTGTCGCTGTCAGCAGTGACGCAGCCCTGACGGTCACCACAGAAGGCTTCGTGGGCCACGTGCTCCCAGCTGCCTGCCCTGCCCTCGTGGCTTGTGGGGAAGGTTCGGGCACAGCTAAGACAAATTGACGGCTGTGAGAATTCTGTCAGGGGCTCTGCTTGCTTTTCTTTCTTGATAGAAAAATAAGCCTTAGCCTCGCAAGAGCATCGTGACTCCTTTCAGAGGCATAATTACGTGTTCCAAGCCAAATTGCAGTTCAAGAGGAGGTTATGAATCCCTCCTCACTAATGACTGCTCGTGTTCCTCTCCTAGGAACTCAGAGAAAGGTAACCGAAGAAACAGCCCCAGCCCGGTGGCGTCTCGGCTCCTCCCCCAGCAGCCGGGGAGGCGGAGCCTGCATCTTGTGCTTTTTGTCTCTGCAGGGAGGCAACGACCATGAGATCTTCACAGACCCGAGAACCGTGGGCTACACCGTGACGGCACCCGAGGACACCCGCAGGGTCTGCGAGGAGCTCTTCTAACACGGGGCAGGGCATCCTGGCCCAGCCCCGCAGTCCCCCTCTCCGTGACCAGGCCCGCCTCCAGCTGTCAGTCGTGCTCGCTCGGCAGGGGACCTGGCGCCACCTCCACGGCCCAGGAACGCCTGTCGAGGATGGACCAGAGAACTAGCCCGCAGCAGGCTGCACCCCACCCCAGCCCGAGACCCGCCTAAAGTGCAGAGTCCCACTACACCATCATTTAGAACCTGCCGTGGTTCTAGAATGATGCAGGAAGACCCTCCCTCCTGAGTCTCAGGAAACCCAACAGGACCCTGTGTAGACCCCAGAAAGGGGGATTTGGTGATGAGGAAGAAAGGGTGACCACAGTCTTAACACTTCCTGCAACGGAGTTCCCTCCCGAGGGAGCGTGGGGGTGGGCGAATGAGCGAAATGACTGGATGCACCTTTTCTGTTCCCAACCACTTCCTGTGTGTGAGACCCAGACCTCAGCGCAGCCTGGCTGAGCGATGGTGGGCCAGCTCTGTTCACTGCACCGCAGCTGTTTTCTGTAGCCATCAAGACGGGAGGTCGTGGGAACTGAGAGCCCGGGAGGGTTGGCGCTGGCCATACTGCCCTTTGCCTGGAGGCAGGCCCTGAGCCAAGTGCAAAGGAACTCGCTTCCAGACATCAGCCTTCGGCCAGACACCCTTCTCCCCGGGCCGGCGAGGCCTCCCAGCGCCAGGACTCAGTGCTACTTTCTCAGGGATCCGTGCAGCCCGGATGGTTACAGGAACAGGAGCCGCACTCCTCAGCTGGCCCTCCCAGGCCCTCACCCAGACTGAGGGGTGGGGAAGCTGCAGCCGGGCCTGTGTCCCCCATGCCCTCTCCAAGTTCTCTGTGAAACAAAGGCCCACAGGCCTTGACCAGAGCGCAGTGGGAGAGCGCTTTCTGAGAATGGTTCTAGAAACACGGACGCTCTGGGCGCAGTGGTTCACCGCTCCAGCTCCTGGGTCAGGACCAGGCGCCATTAGCACAGGTAAGCTTGGCCTGAGATGGGGGCGGTGACAGCAGGAGGCTGCTGTGGTCCCTGCCCCTTCCCCACCCACAGGTTGGTGTCTCTGGGTGAGTCCCAGGGCGTTGCCATCCAGTGGCCTCAAACCGCGGTGAATTTTCAGGTGATACTGTAATGGCCTTTCAGAATGAAAATCAGCACATTAAAGTACGTTCCTTGTTGATTCTCATCCTGACGACTTTCCTCCTGGGACTCCCACGTGGGTGCGGAAGGAGACCCCAGCCTCTTCCTGCACCCTGGTGTTCCGACACAGTGTGCCTGGTCCCTCCCGCCCACTGGCTCCAGCCCCGCCACTCCCTGCAGGTTCCCTTCACCTGGGGAGATATAGGGCTAGCTGATGTCCTCAGGGCTGCCCTGGGTGGGTGCCCTGAGGCTGCCCGGCTGTGCGCCCAGGCCTCCCTGATTCCCCAGTGGCTATTTCAGCCCCTCCGGCCACTCACGTCCCCTCCCACCCCCTCCCTCTCCACTGCCACGAACTCCTCCTCGGCCTCCCTCACACCTCTGAAGGACTTTGAGCTCCGCCATGCCTTCCCCCTTCCTTCTGGTCTGGGCATCCCAGTCCAGCCCTGCTGGGGACTAGTCCAAGTGCGCCTCCCAGCCAGGCACCGCGGTGGGCTCTCCAGTGATGGGGGGGCTTGGCACAGCAGTCAAGCCACTGCTTGGGACACCCCCGTCCCCCACTGGAGGGTCTGGGTTGAAGTCACGGCTACTCCACTTCCAGTCCAGCTTCCTGCTGATGTGCACTCTGGAGACAGCAGGTGATGACCTGGACTGTGGGACCTGAACTGAGCTGGCTCCTCACTGCAGCCCGGCCCCGCCCTGGCTGGTGCAGGCATTTGGGGAGTGAGTCACGGGACAACCTGCTACTCTGCCGTTCCAGTGAAAACTTAGAGATGCAAAAATAATTGTGGCGGAGCCACTGTGCATAGCACTTGTTCCCAGAGTGGCCATTTCCATCGTGTGGCAGTTACTGCCCAGGTTGTGTGAATTAGGGCAGATTCATCTTGGCCTCCGTCTGTGTTGGCTGGGATGGTCCTACCACGTACGTGATCCGCACAAAGTAATTTCAGTGAACAGGTCAGTCCCAGGAGCCTGGAAGGAAGGACAGTCATCCCCTGTACCTTAGGGAGCAGGCAGGATGAAGGCGCCGCCGCAGACTGAATACAGTAAGTGTGGAGCAAGAGGGCGGCACCGAGGTGGCACCCGAGCCAGGCTGGCTGGGGCTGTCCCCACCCCGCCCCCAGCCTACAGAAGTTGACTGAAATTCACTCAGGCGTGGAGAAGCTGCTGGGCTCCTTGGAGAGAGGAAGAGGCCAGCCAGAAGACCCTTAGGAACCCTGAGAGCTGAGCTGATCCCAGGATCTGCAAGGCCTTTGAAGCTCGCCCGCCCAGCGGTGGGGCAGGGCGCGCTGGCAGGGCCCGAGAGCAGGGAGCTGGGCAGAGGTTGCCATAATCTAGGCCTCGGAGGCCGTGAATCACTTCCACTCCCAGAGCGGCTTCCTCTTCTCCCAGTCCCCCACCCCAGAGTCCCCCATCAGGCCCCCACAGCCCAGGGCGGGCACCTCCCACCCTCTTCCAGTCTGTCTTCCACGGCCCCCCAAAATCAAGTCCTAGGACTCGTTCCTTCACCCACGCTGGCTTCCCCCGGGTCAGTCTCCCCAGCCCCACCTGTTATGTGCTACTCTGCGGCTGAAGCCGACAGCCTCATTTTGAGCTCTGGCCTCTCCCTAAACAGGTCTGATGGGCTGATTAAGTTCTCCCAGTACACCTTTGAAAATCCTAACAAACACATCACACACCCACATCACCAAGTCCCCTGGAGACACTGGGTGGGGCAGACCCGTCCCCTCCCTAGTGCCCTCCCGCCAGCCCCCTGAGCCGCTGCCTCTCTGCAGTCCTCCCTCGGTGCCTGGATGGCGGCAGCAGGGGCAGGCGAGGAACAGCTGCCGGCCTGAGCCCGAGAAATGGGGGAGGGGGCTGAGGGCTCTCACCCTCACACAGCAGCCTCCGGAATGCTCAGTAGCGCAGTTCCATTGAAGACCCCCTGGCCAGTGAGAAGGGAAGGGGCACCCACCGTATTCAGCACCACTGCCGACACACAACGTCCAGGCCACAGCAGCCTCTCTGGGGACAGCCGCTCCTCCCCCAGGGCTCACAGGCGCTCCTGGGTAAGCCCGCCCACACACAACACACACAGCCTCGCACAAAACAACACTTTATTCAGAGGAAGGTGGCTGATGGGAGGCGAGACCTGATGTGGGAATCCTGGATTCTAGTCCTGGCTCGGTCACCAACACCCTGCGTCCCTCCCCGAGCCTGGGGGAGTCTCCCCACCTTGGGAGCTGAGGCTGGTGTTTGGGCGGTGGGGGTCCCTGCCAGCATGGACGCTCAGCTGAAAATGATGCCGAGACGCTCAGAGCAAGAGCTGTGTACAGAGGACCTGCCCTGCGACAAACTCCAAGGGTCACCTCCGCACAGCTCCTGGTCGGGCAGAGCCTACCGGGGCCCTGGCAGCACAGGGGGCTGGCGCCCAGGCTGGAGCAGTGGGCGAGGGCCAGGGAGCTCTCCTGGGCCTCAGCAGAAGCGGCCTTCGAAGTGTGGTCTCCACCAAACACAGAGGCCCCTGGGAAGCCGCCTGGGGGCCATCCGAGGCTAGAAGGAAAACGGCGACCTTTGACCCAGCAGAGGGCAGAGGTGGGAAGGGAGCACCAAGCCAGAGCTGCACAGCAGGGCAGAGCAAACTGGCCGTCACCATGGCCTGGTCACACAGCAACCCCCTCCAGACTGCACCCCTCTCGGGCGGGGGCGGCTCAGTGCCTCCGGCATCGCCTGGCCCTCCCAGCCGGGCCGCTGTCACCTGCCCAAAAGCCACCGTTTCTGAAAGCTGACCCGTGGACTCCTGGCTACCTACAGGCCACCTACGTCCAAGCACAGCACCCAGCTACTTCTATCCGTAAACCTAACTAAGGCCACACCAAAGCACCGCAAGGGAAACCCTAAGGATCCAGTGACTGAAACACCTGCAGCGTTGGCAGTGAGGCCCCCCCCGGGCTGGCGCAGCTTCAGTTCATCTCTAAGCCAGTTGCTAAGGAAGCCCCCCGCCCACAGGCTGTCCGGAAGCAAGAATCCGGGTCTGTCCTGGAGGAAGTGCTGTATGAAACAGACCCCAAGCCCCACCCCAGGCCTCCAACCAGCACCTTACTGAGGGAGGCTCGCTCAGCTAGAGGACAGGAAAAGGTAAGCCTCCTAGAGGAGCTGGGAGCCGGCCAGCCTTGCCCAGAGGTCAGAGGTCAGAGCTCCGGACAAACCGCCCCTCCCCCCAGCCCCCCACGCCAGCTCCGCTCCCACCAAGCCGAGAACTGGAGGCCGCTCTGCCCACGTCCACGGAGAGACCTAGCCGGGGCACTGAGGGAAGGCACACGGGATGCATGTCACCACCGGGGGGGCGGGGGGCCCTGGGTGCCCCACCTGAGGTCAGACCCTCTGCACAGCCACCAGCGGGGGCACCTCTCCTTTTTCAATGCTTTTAATGCTTTTCAGATGCTGAGAGGTTGTTGCGACAGTCAGAGGCTGTGCTGGTGGCGGGGAGAGGCCCCCCCGCCCACCCCCACTTCCCCCAGGAGACGCTGGTGGGGCCCGCACCCCCCCGCCCCCGCCCCGAGCCCCAGCTTGTGCAGCACAGAGTTCTCTTCAGTGTGGTCCTGCTGCTCCTCCCCCAGTCTCCCCCCACGCCAGGGGGAGCGGAGCCTCGGGTGTCTCCTAGGAGCTGACCACGTGCCCAGACCAGGTCTCGTGTTTGGTGCCCGGAGCCAGGTGGGTGATGACAACCTCCACGGCCTGCAGCTTCTCGTTCTTGGGTGGGATGCAGCACATCTTGTAGGTGACTTCGTCGCCTTCCACGGGGACGTACTCCCCCTCCACGCTGCGGGGGCCAGAGAGTGCACGGTCAGCACCCACGCCAGGGAAAGCCCCACAGGGCTCAGTTCCGCCTGCCCAGAGGACCACCAGGGCTGGCCCCAGGGAGCCGCCCCCTCCCTGGCACCGGAGAGGCTGAGCTCAGGCGTCTGTGCGGTGTGGGGCGGGCACAGCCAGTCCGAGGCTGTGCAGGCGTGGACAGGCAGGGACAGCCAGTCCAAGGCTGCACGGGCCAAGCACAGGAGTGCAGAGATGGCCCAGGGAACAGCCCCGAGCGCCCCGGCACACGGCCCGGGGCCCCGGAGGCCCAGAAACCGAGCCGGGTCTTGGCCCTGGGACTCCGCAGACAGCCAGTGAGCCTTCAAGGGCTCCCTCTGTGCTTTAAGCCCGTTTTGGGAGGGGCCCTCTCCCTGTCACCCCCACCCCTACCGAAGGCTCCCTTCCTTTCCAGGGACAAGAGCTGCATATGATGGCCCCCTTTGATGAGACCCTGGGAAAGTCCCCTCTGGATTCCACACACCACGGCCAGCCAGCACCTCCCAGGATGGTTTGTTTTGTGCGTAGAATCTTAATGCAGATAGCGCTTCCCTCTTTCATTTGACCACCAGGAAGCTCAAGCTCGCAGCGCACTTGTTTGCTGACGCCCCCCACCCCATGCTTTCCCTATTGGCTTGTTTTCATACGGCATTGCGTACGTCTGCGTTATTAGCCACACATCCTTCCTGGAAAGAGGCCGTGGGGAGATGCTCTTGGGCACCCAGGCACATGCACACGTGTATATGAGACACATCGCTTTAGTCTCTTCCTCCTGTCTGTACTGGCTGGGGGTCTGTATCCCTAGGGGCCGGAGGGTGGGCACACAGCTGGTGTGGCGTGGTGCTGGCTACCAGCTCTGCTGTGCACGGTGGGACTTGGCCTGCTGCTGTCTGCAGTGAGATTGGGGATGCCGGCCAAGGCCCGGGGGTGGAGCACTTGGCCCGGGGGTGGAGCATAGGCCGCTGGGTCTAGCCCCGTGGCTGAGGCCATGCGGGCCCCGCCCTGGGCTCCCCAGGGGCAGCCAGACACTCAGGAAGGAAGGGCGTCAGTGGCCAGAGGAGGAGAAAGGATCCAGCCCCAGACTTCCTTCCTGGAGTCGAGGGGCCGGGCAGCCCCCTACCCCACACACCTCACTAGGCTGCTTCCTGGACACAGGGCCGGAAGTGCCCCCAGCCCCAGCTCGCAGGGACGGCCCTCACACCACGCACACCCCTGCGTCTGTGGCAGGACACACACACACGATGCACACACACGGGTGGGTGTTACTGGGTGGGGACCCAGCTCGGTTTCCGTGCCCGCGCCCCCGCGCCCACACTGCACATGTGCCCGAGCGCTCTTCAGTGCCAGCATCACGAGTCTGTGCACACGTGAACTGTCACCTGCAGCCTCGCCCACGCCACGCTGCCCCCCCCCGTTCAGCCACGCCCACACCGCCCCCCCCCTTCAGCCACGCCCCGAGCCCACGCGCTGACTCACTCGGAGATGTGCAGGAAGATGTCAGGGCCGCCGTCCGCCGGGGTAATGAAGCCGTGGCCCTTGGACCGGCAGAAGCATTTGCACACTCCCTTGTAGACGGGGCCCTGGGAAGCCCGCACCGTCCTGGCAGAGAGGCAGTGGTCAGGGCCACCGGGCCCCGGCTGGCTCCGGCTCGTCCCCGCCTCCCCCCGCCCCCCAGGCCCAGGCTCCAGGGAAGAGGCTGCTGCACAAGCCTGCACAGCTCGCCCAGGACTCTGCGCGGGGCGGAGGGGGCCGGGCTGCAGGAGCCGGGCATCCCCCGTCACCACGCGCCGGGCCTGGAGCCCTGCGGCCGGCACGCCGCCCCGCCGCTGTGCCCACTGCGCAGCTGAGGAAGTGGGCTTTTCCGTGGGGCTGGAGCCCAGGGACTCCCCCGCCCAGGCCCCCCAATGAGGCGCCCCCCAGTCTCAGCCCCCACCCCAGCTCAGGAAGCCGCCCCCAGGCAGTCCAAGACTCACGCCGAGAACGTCCTTGTCCGGCGAGTGGGCAGCGGGCTCGGGACCACGTTGCCCCGCAGCGGGGACGGGGAGCGCTCGCGGGCCCCCCGAGGGGTGTCCAGCAGCCCTCCTGGAGCCTGGTGGGTGGGGGGCTGCGACGGCGGGGGAGGCTCAGATGACATGGCTAACCTGCAGAGAGCAGGCAGGGTGCTCAGGGGGCGGGCCCGGGCACCCACAGCGGGGTGGGGGTGGGGGCGCTGCCTCTAACACAGTTTGGCACCGAAATGTCAGGCTGCTCCTGCGATGAGGGTGGTGCACGTCCCGGCACCCCGGGGCTCCTGCGGACTAGCTGGGAGAGGGAGCCAGGCCCGGCGGCACACCGCCCAGCCACGCCCAGGCATCCCTGGCCTTTAGCAGTCAGCAGTCCGGCCCTGAGGGGCTGCACACACCAGCACCCAGGACAAAGGCCTGGGGACGCTGTGGTGGCTGTGGACCCGGGCACCCAGCAGCGCGATCAGATTCCCTCGCGGCCCCTGGCGTGCGTGAGGATGTGGGCTCAGAGCAGCAGGGGGCCCGGAGGGGGCACTGGCGGCTGGAGGCGCAGGTGCGCAAGGCCGAGAGGGAGGCATGAATCCGGGAGGCAGAGGCTCCCGGGCATCCTCGCCCCGCTCTGGGCTCGCTTTCCACAGGGGCAGTGGGGACCGGGAACCCGAGGGAGGGGCCACTCAAGTCCACGCGGCCAGGCAGGGCACAGCAGCCCTGGCTGGGGGCACAAGGCTCCCTAGGGGCTTCCGATTTACGCTAGGAGCTGGCCTCAAAATCCAGGTTCCCAACACCCGTGGAAGCCCTGGGAACTCCAAGAACACTGAGCCCCCCGTGCCCCCCGCCCCGCCCCGCGCCCACAGCATGCAAGGGCCCAGGCCTGCTGCATCGCCGGGCCACGCCCCCCGGGGGGACTCAGTTCTGTCCCTGGCGCGAGTGCTGTGGCTACCTCCTGACCCTTGTCTCAGCTGCAGCCCCGGCCAGGGAGGACCACGCGTTCAGGGAGCCCCCGCCTCCTAAAGCCCCGGCTGTTCAGCTGGGGGCCAGGGCACCAGCGTGACGTACTGGCACAGGTCATAGAGTGCTAGAATGTTCCAAGGCCCGGGGTTCTGGGAAGGGAGCTGCCCCAGGGGGAGGCCGCACGGGACAGCAGGTGGGACCTGGTGACTCTAGCGTGCGGCAGGAAGGCCTCCCCCCTCCCTCTTTTCTTCTGGAGTCAGGCACATCTGCCATCAAAGCCCACCACTTGCAGGCTGTGTGATCTTGGGCAAGTTACTTAACCTCTCTGGGCCTCTGTTCCCACATCTGGAAAATGGGAACTGTAATAGCCCTGACTGCATACCGTTGTTGTGAAGTTGAAATAAAGGAACACGCTAAGCACAGGGCACCCCACTGGCCCGCACAGGTGAGCAGCAATTGTCAGCTATGACTGTTGTCCTTATCATCATACAGTCACTCGACAAACATGTGCCCAGTACCTGGCCCCGGTCCTGGCAGTGGAGACATAGAACTGGGAGCCAAATAATAAACAGGCAAACAAATATATTGAAAAGCTGTTTGGCCTAGGGATTAAGACAGTGCTTGGGATCCTGCAGCCCATATCACAGTGCAGCAGGACTCCCACGTGGGAGACTCCGACCGAGTGCCCGCTCCCGGCTTCATCCTGGCCCAGCCCTGGCTGTACGTGTGCATTCGGGAGCTTTGGCTCTCTCTCTCTCTCTGCCTTTCAAATAAGCAACATGAATGTGTCACAGGTTTTACAAGAACGAGAAGGGGATAAACGTATGGGGCTGAGGCGCGGGGTGCCTGGCACGTGGTGGGGCCGCCGCTCTCGACGCCTGCATCCCACGTCAGAGAGCCTGGGTTCAGGTCCTGACTCCGCTTCCAACCCAGCTTCCTGCTCACGCACCGGGAGGCAGCAGGTGATGGCCCAGGGAATCGGGCCCCTGCACCCACGTGGGAGACCCGGACGGGGTTCCTGGCTCCTGGGTTGGCCTGGCCCAGCCCTGGCTGCTGTAGGCATCTGGGGAGTGACCCCACAGATGGGAGATCCATCACTGACTCTCTCTCCCCCCACCTCTCCCTGCAAGTGCAGGCTGGGCCTTGCACAATGAGCATGGAGGGGGGTGCTATGTGCTATGGGATGTGGCATAGCACCCTGGGCCACAACGCCCGCCCTAAGGCTGGATCTTAAGTAGCATTGGTGCCCAAGGCCCAGCGGTGCTCACGAGGCACAGGCCAGCAGCAGATGGCCACATTCTTGCTCGCCAAGCGGGGAGCCGGGGAGCCCGGGAGCCCGCGAGCACAGGGCCTGGGGGGAGGGGCACGCTGCCGGGGGACCCAGAAGCCTTCACCACCACCCAGCCAGCCTCTCGGGGCCCTGGTGCGAAGAACAGCAGCTGGGCGAGCAGAGCAGGCCTGGCCAGGAGCCAGCCCACCCCCCAGCAGGCCCGGCGGGGGCGGGGGTGGGGGATGAAAGGCCTCAGTGTGGGTCAGAGTCCAGCTGCACAGAAAACAGCTGGGGGGGGGGGGGGGA